TTAACCTTTCAATTCCGGTGTGCCACTGATCAAAGAACTGCAGCACTCCTATTGCCTTGCAGCCCTTCCTCTCAGAGAGTTGACTACTGAATTTGCAGTGATGGTTTTCCCCACAGGCCACCTCTCCTCCTCTTGTCACAGGACTGCCTCCAAACCCTTTTGACAACCCTCTGCCAGTGGAGCAGGGAGAATAAAATAGTAGCTCCTCCCACCAACCAGACAGGATAGCTGCAGTTATATATCCTCTTCATCCTCCATGGGTCCCCACGCATACCACATCCTGCTGCTCCCCTCACACCTAAATTCCTATGTCCACTTCCCTCATTCCACCTCCCATCGCTCCTCTTCCCTCCCACCTTTACCCTGGCCTCAGCAAACCATGTTACTCAGCTGACACGCCACGCACCCAGTCCCCCTCACTAGCCTGCCATCTTCCACTGATTTCCAGCCTACTCTCCCCACTCCTGGATTTTCAAAAAGTTACAAATGAAGGGATTAACTGTTTCTCTTCCTAATAAGTTTTTTCCTACACTGTTTGGCTTGAGTCTGTCGCAACACCTTCTAAGTCATTAATAAAAGCAGTGTGTGAGATGGGGTAGTCTGACCCCTTAAAGGTAGTAGAGCCTAGTGGTCAGCCCACCCCATCATGTGATATTGCTCTTTAAGATTTTGAAAGGTATGATATATGTACACACAAGGATGTAGAAGATAAGGACGGAGAGGAAGCAACTCTGGGAATAAGTGATGCTTGGGTAGAAATCCCATCACTCTGTCTTTAAGGGCCCGGGGCCAGGAGCCTTGCTGAGAGGATGAGGCAGATTCCCCTCTCACCAAACCAACTGGGAATGAGCTGGGCGAAAGGGACCAGCATAAATGTTGCCTCCTCCCTCATAGCGGTAGACACCAGTGGGAGAGGGCTCTGACTGTCTTTCTGTCAAACAAACCCTCTGAGCCTGAGGACTAACAGGAGGGAAGGGATACCTAAGAAGAAGCTGGCTAAGGCCCTACTGGTGACTAAATTACAATCCTGCTCCAAGGAGGAGAGCTGAGGACTCCTGGGTTAAGGAGAGAGTTAATGTCTGCCTGAATTACCCAGCTCTCTGAGGAGGGCTGGGGTTGCTGCCTTAAGGAGAGATAGTGACTGTTTAACTGAAGAATACCTTCTTCCAGGAAGAGAGCGGGGAACTCCTGTTTTGAGAGAGAGAGAGCTGACCACAACTCCTACATGGACCCAGAGTGGGGCAACTAACACAGTGAGTTATACTTGGTAGAAAGACTTTAAAGAAAAAATCCCAGACCCCACACAAGGGGTACATGTCTTAAACCAGTTTAGTCTGGGTAACAGAGTGAAAGAACATGAGGGGGCCAGGTGTGCAATGATACTATGGGACTATGCTGGAGCCTGCACCCCATGACAAAGTTTATACAGATAGTCTTATGTGCGTATATCATATAAACAACATTGTCACTGAGTTAAGTTGACACTGTACATTTGGAACAGTTGATAAATATAGTCACAGGTGTCTTGAGCAGCCTATTGATGGTGATATGTCTTTCCAACACTTAAGCCAGTGAAACCGTCAGCTGTAAACTACTTGGCTTTCTGGATACATACACTTTCTCTTGTAAACACTACTACCCTTCCTAGTAAGAGCTTCATACTACTTCCTGTGAAGCCAATGGGACATCTAACATTAACTTCACCTAAAGCAGACCTTAGGATAGGATCCCACAAGCTGGTAGTATCCACAACTCCCACTGAAGCCAATGAAAGATGAGGATGGCCAGCACTTTTTAGGATTGGGTCCTTATTCACCAACTGTCTAATACAACTGGAAATGTGTAGTGTAAATAGATAAACAGAAGAATGCCACACCAGGCTCAAAAAACATAGTATATGGGAATTGCAATCCACAGGGGATTACAGAATTAAATAAAACCTGGTTTATATGGCTTAATCCATTAACCCTCTTAACTGTGCTACAGCCTTATAACTGCTAAATAAGAAACTGGCAGCTATGGAGACTTAAGAACTCAAGCAGAAGCAGCAGTGCGAGCTCCCCCTCTCCCCAAACCCACTGCTGTGCACAACCCTAATTTGGAAAGTCTACTTCTATGGGCTGCTTCAGTTTCTGTATCAACTCCGTCCTTGGATTTTCTGCCGAGATGGCCAAAAGAGGAATCACAGATGAGCAATACGTAGTACTGGTGTTGGCTGTCTTAGCTTTAGTGTTGTGTATACAGATAAGCTGGGAGCTGTAAAAACCTCACCAGCTTCTGGTCGCTGCTAACCTTTGACACAATCAAACTAGCAATCTAGATATGAATGTCTCCATATCCCTTTACTAGTTCCCATAACCATTCGCTTTGTCTTCCCTACATCCCTATGTCTTCCTTCAGAGGGCTGCAGCAGGTTGCAGAATCACCCCTTGAGTCTCAAATTCAAATGGTGTGTTAATATCATCCACATAATGGAAAAATCTCAGCTTAAATGAGGCCAGTGCTAGAATATTAGGCTTCTGGGACATAAGGTCTGAGGTGCATTAGCAAAGCACATAATAGGATTTGTTTAACATTGTTAAAGCTATACTTTTTTCCCTAGCCACTAGTATTCGTGTCTCCCTCCAGGAGTATCAAGTTGATATACAAACTTTAGAATGAAAAAGATGTTCTTTAAGATTGGTAACTAATAGCAATATTGTTCATAATTAACAACTTGGTTGGACTTGCTTACATTATGTAACCCCAGGACTGGAAGACTTAAGAGGAATGAAGTGCTCCCTCTGTTACTAAGGGAAAAAGCCAGCTGTGGCTAGCTTCATTAACACAAGTTACAACGTTGTTTACCCTTAATTCCACCTACTGAGTTTTGCTGCTTTGGTTGGGATTTATTCACATGAGTAAATATGAGACTATTATCATTACTAGTCTAGTGGATAGGGAGGAAGCTGTAGATGTGATATCTTGATTTTAGTCCCACATGACGTTCTCACAGGCAAATTAGGGAAATGTGGTCTAGATGAAACTTCTATAAGGTGGGTGCATAATTGGCTGACAATTACTCTTTTAATATGGTCTTTCAATGGCTCACTGTCAAACTGGAAGGATATATCAGGTGGGGTCTTGCAGAGGTATGTCCTGTATTTGGTATTAGTCAATATTTTCATTGATGACTTGGCTAATGCAGTGGAGAGTCCACTTATAAAATTTGAGGATGACTACTGAGCATATATACTGAACTTGAAAGATTATACTCTATTGCTTAGCACAGATCCGTAACACTTTCTTACTGTTTGGCAGTAAACAGTCGACTCTATAAATACATCCAGGCTGTCTAAAAATACAACTGGCAATCTTTTTGAATTTAAAGGTGGGGATTTCCTTGCCTCGGACAGAAATCATCCCTATTTCTGTTTACTGCTGATCCCTTGTTCAAACGTACTTGTGAACAGCACTTTTATCTTTGAAATGTACCTAAGTGCATGAAGTGGCAGATACGCTTTGCTAGAGGCACAGTTCCTCAATCATTCATTTAAGTGAATTCAACTGTAAGTCCCAAACTACCTCTCTGCATTTCAATATGCTTTCCTTCCTTGTACACCTTGACTACGCTAGCCACATTTGGACTTCAGTAGAACAGTATGAAATGAACATATTATGAAACTGGAGCAATGTTACTGCTATCTCCTTTTTTTTCCAGGCTGGCTCATTTTCATCTGCCATTAGCAGTCCTACACAGTAATGGGGTGTGTGCAATCTGTCAGCTGAGAAGATAAGAACTAGATCTGGACTTGCAAAGGGAGGGATTTGTGAAATGGTCTGTTCCAAACAGATAAATTCAGTTTATTCTAAGCATTAAATTTGTTCCTAAACTGTTAGAATTTTTCAGATTATCTATAATAAATCCATTCATGTCTTACGGCAGAACCAAAGTAGGACCTGGGGGAAAATGCTAAACTAAACTGTTATGAACCTAACTCCTCGTGACTTAACATGGAGTTAGACCAGTGAACAGATCTCACAGCATTTAGGAAACCACAGCAAAAAGATAACAAGTATCGTTAGCTAGTACGACAATGAAACCTGTTTTTACTATCTTTCAGTTTAAGTGTATATTCAGTAGCTTCACTGAAGTAACCTCTTGCAATATTTTTATGGCCAAATCCTGTACATGGATGTGCCCATATAGCTTCTGTTTAATTTATTAGATAATACCCTCCAGGTCACATTATGACAAGACTCCCATTAAAATCCATGAGATCAATATGCACATCTGAGGACACAGGGCACAATCCTTGGCCCCAGTTCTGGCTGCTTTGCGCTCCTGAGGTTGTGTCAAGCAGCTGGGAAGGTGTCCTAAAGGAGCAGCCAAGGATTCCCTCTGACACAGGGGAATTCTCCGGAGGGAAAAGCCAGCATAGTTGGTTCAATGCCCCAGCCCATCCTGCCCACACAGGGCTATGTTAGGGGCAGAGAGTATTGTGGAGGAAATGTGCCATGAGCAGGAGGGACCGGGGCAAAGTGCACATGACTCCATCAGATTATTAGCTGCCCTAAGTTACACCAAGAGCTGTTTCAGCTTCTGATTAGCCCAGGATCAGGACAGTGGAAAGGTGGCATAGAACTCACTGCACCAAGTGGAATCTCAGTGAAGTTTGAGGATTGAGCCCAGAGTTTGGCCTTCAGAGTTTTGAGTGTGTCACTTCCCAAAGGCAAGAAGGTTTCTGAGCTGAGGCTGCAATGGACCATCAATGAAGGGTTAAATTTATAAACAAAATGTGTGTGTGTTTGTTTTTTTTGTTTCGTTTTTTAAAAAGCTAAACTATATTGGAATATTAACCTGTAATCTAAATGTTTAGTGTGTGTGGTATTTATACAGCATCCTATTCATTCCATCTATATTGCACACAGAGGTTTTAGTAAATGATATAGACTAAAGGAAGAAGGTGAAAATTCCATCACAAAGACTGCAGCATGCTAATAAACCCTTTCATACTTACCTTTCTCACGTTATAGAAGTCTCGATGGGGATTACTCTTCAGTTCTTTAAATTCAGACATTTCATTTAGCATCTCATGTAAACTGAATTTAGATTCTAAAAAGTTAAGTCGTCTGTGGCAATATGTTTTTCTGCAAAAGAGAGATGATGCTTTAATTACAATCAAACTACTCAGATTTTAAAGTTTTCAGAGTGTAAATTACTTTGAGTGAAACAGCATTAGATTTATCCATATTTTAAGGAGTCCCAGATGTGATTTATTAGAGATCTATAGATGAAAAGGGCAAGATATCATTATAAATCTTGATTTCTGTGGTTGCCAATTAGGCCCTAAATTTGATTTGATACCAAATATGAAGCCAGTTAATAAAACACTAACAGAATGTACTGGGAAGTTGTGGTTTTTTGTTGTTTTTAATAGCAAAGAACTACAAGGACACTGAAGAAATTTATCTGGCCATGATTTACCCCCTTTTTAAATGTTATAATTTCACTTGTAATATTTTATCTCGGCACTGTGCCTCTGTGGAATTTCCAGTTCTTCCAGTTTGGTACATGATTGGGGGGGGGGGGGGGAGAAAAGTAAAATGTATTAGCTAACAAATGCTACCACTCAGATGCTAAATATCACCATCACACAAACCAACCACATTCTTACACAATGGAAGAAACCTGTAAACAAGACTATTAAAACATTGAAATGTAGGTTATTTTCAACCAGAATAGTTAAATCACATTCACAGTAGATCATATCTTGAGATATAAGTTTTGGGTGCCTTTATAGATGGTATATGTATTTTTTCACTGTCTTTTGCTCCTTTTTGAGTCTTGTTCTTCTGTTTTTTCACTCTCTCAAATTGCTGCACTTTCACCCTCTCTACTCCACTTTTTTTTCTGTTCTCTGTTTACCACTGATGGTTTTTTCTCTGCACTATTTGTCAATCCTAATCTATGGTATTTCTAAAGTGTGTCTCAGTTTAATATCTAGCCCTTGTGTAACCCCACTGCTAAGACAGTCCCCCTTATGGTCTTCAGGGCACAGCTCCCCTTCCCTCCCCAACAACACCCCCCCCCCCACACACACACACAGAGCAAGTATCTGTCTCCGAGGTCAGGGTAGTGGGGCTTTGACCCTGCAGCTAAAGAGCACTTTTGTTCTATCCCTTTCAGGGCATTGAAATTCAAAGGTACTCTGGAACAAAAATAAACATAACTCAAAGCCAGGGTCATCCCACAAACCTTCAGAGAGACCCTGCCAGTCTGGGCTTCCACAGATTCCCTTCCTAGGATCTGTTCATCCCTTCCTGGAGAGCTGATCCAGCAGGCAAGCAAACACCATCTCAGACCTGCACCCAGGCTTCTCTCCCAAAAGAACCAGAGCACTGTTCTTCTCCCTTGGCAGGCCTGAAATGGGCTAGGTCCTCTCCTCTTATCTGCCCTCTCCACAGCTCAGGTTTGCTGCAAGTGTAGTGGAGCAGGGCCAACTGAGTCCACAAGCTTTTCTTAATCCCTTCCTACCAGGGAAGAGCCTGTCAGCCTCCTTAACTCCCTCACTGTCAGGGGGGCCCTCTCTGTTCCATGACACCTTCTCTTTTGCTACTCTTCTCAGTCTTTCCTCAATGGAACACAAATCACATAGTGTTGTAGTCAGTGAATCCAGGATGTCTGAGTCAATTTGACATTAAGCAGAACAAGTTTGCCCTCTGTCAGAGGCCTGGGATAGTCAGGAATGTATGTGAGGAGATTTAAGGTAGCAAGGGTTAAAGGCCAGTGCTCAGCCAACTGGAGCTTGTCATCCTGCGAGCAGCCTAAACTGGAATGGAGATAAGTGACCGCGAGGCAGGTGCCTGGAATGTTGAGATAGTTTCATGTGGTTAAGCTAAGGGAAAGTTTATGCTGATAAAGTTACTATAAAGACTTTCTTGTGATTGGTTTCTGTTTAGGCTTTTCCACACTGATGCCCACCCCAGCCTGGTCTGAAGAAGTGAAAAGGCTCTGGAGAGCTTGCTCCTGTTTTCAGTTTGGTAAATGGGGGTTTCAACATACTCTAAAATTTAGCCTAAAGAAAGGGTTTGGACTATTTCTCTCTCTGGCTTGCTTAAAGTGACAACATGTATCCTGCCAGAAGGAAGGGTTTAGAACTGGTCTTATTTTAATTTTTTACTACTCTGTGTATCTCAGAGAAGCTAGGCTAACTTGTCACTTGTGAAGGATTTGGCCTCCCTTAAAAGGAGAGGATCTAGGGCATGTGGTGGTTGTGAGGCAGGCAAATGGCTTGGTAGGATAACCCAGACTACTGCTCTGGCTCAGGGCCCAAGTCTGAGACTCCAGGGAGCAGTATTCACTGGAGTGCTGCTCTGTTCCTGATATTGGGGCACTGTGAGGCTAATGTGAGCTCAAGTGCTGTTATCCTGCCTCCTGACTGAAGACATAAGTACTGCATTTAATTTTTATTTTATATTTTTTAACATCAAATGCACAAATCTTCATTATTCAACAAGAAAGCTGATATTCCAATTATATAGTACTGGTGACGTGCAAAGTTCTGGTTCCCACATTTCTAAAGTTTCAGGTCAGATTTGGCCTGAAACGTGTTTTATGTAAACTCATTCACGCTTCATTATGCCTAGTACCCAGAGGCTAAAGTCACACCTTTAGAGGTATACTGCTTTCACTACTTAGGTTTTTCTGTTCATTGTAAGGCATTTTTCACTGTATTTCCCCACCCATGGATGGTAAGACACTCAGCAGATGTAAAGCAAATGCTTTGGACACAAGCAGTCTCACAAGAAATTGCTGCTGATCTGTATTATCAGCTCTCTGGAAAAGCATGGTAGTAAACATACATACGTTGGACCATCTGCAATGAGAGCAAGAACATGGCTGAGGTCAAGTGTGTAGGTCACCAGATCAGGATATGGCAGACTCCGTGGCTCATTGAGTTTCATCGTTTCTTTATTGTCATAAACAAAGAGAATGCCTCCTTGCATTTTGACAACATAATCCAAATTGCCCGGCGCATCGTCAAGGTTGTAAGGATTCTCTAGTTTTCCTGGGGGTGGATGGAAATCTGTGAAACAAGCTTGATGTCAGAATGATGTCAGAAGTAACCCATTTTGAAAGGTAAAATAGTTACAGAAAGAAATTAATCTTGTTAGTTTCTGCTCTAAAAAGAATGATCGATTCCAAATCCACCTTTCATCTATTAAAAGCATGTTGGTGGTTACTCTAAAGGACCTATAGTCATAGCACAGTTGGCTTTATTCTGACCAGCTTCATTAAAAATTAAATGCAGTTCTGATTATTATTTTTTAAAATAAGTTGGGCCTCACTAAATTCATGGTCCATTGTGGTAAATTTCACACTCTTGGGGTTTTTAAAATCTGAAATTTCACAGATTCAGATACTTAAATTTGAAATTTCATGGGACTGGGAGCTGCGGGGGTTCGCAAGACTATTGTGGAGGTGGGTAATGCCGCCATTACTTCCTCACTGCTGGTAGCTGAGGCGCTGCCTTCAGAGCTGGGCAGCCATCGAGTGGCAGCTGCTGGCCGGGCGCCCAGCTCTGAAGGCAGCACCACTGCCAGCAGCAGCGCAGAAGTAAGGGTGGCGATACCGTCCCAGGCCACCTTGACTTCTGCACTGTTGCTGGAGGCAGCGCTGCCTTCACAGCTGGGCTCCTAGCTAGCAGCTGCAGGGCTTCCTGCAGCCAGGAGAGGTTGCCGGAGGCGGGTCTGACCCGGCCCCTGGAGCAGCCTGTGCTGGGGAAGAGGAAGTCACATCCCTCCCCTGCCCAGTCAGGACTAGCAGCTGGAGCCTGGTACATGGCAAGAGCCCCTTGCCCTGCCCCTCCCCAGCTCTGGGCCAGTGCTCGGGGTTAAAGAGGCCTTGGGTTGGCTGTCTGACCCTACAACAGCATTCTTCTCCCCGCCACCCCCCAACCACGACACCCTGGGCAGCTGGTCACCCACACGTACGGCCAGCCATACCCCCCAAAAGTGACAACCCCCCATACCATGCCACCCTCACTTTTGCCCTGCTGCTGTCAATGGCACTGCCTTCACAGCTGGGTGCCCATCCAGTTCTTCCGCACTGCCTTCAGTACAGGTGGCAATACGTGAACCCCCTATAATAGCCAGATTTCATGGAGGAGACCAGATTTCACATTTCATTTTTCATGGCCGTGAATTTGGTAGGACCCTATTTATAAGCTACTAAAGTTTCTATCATAATTCCAATACACTATTTTAAGTACTCTGATGCCATTTACAGTTGGACTCCAAATGCTATGCATCGCCGCCAACACCATATTATAGTTCAAGGTATGCCTATGTCTCAATACAATTTCAGAAACAGTTTAAAAAAAAAAAAAAGATTGGGGATGAAAGTACAGTTGAGATCTTCGAGTACTGACTACCTCTCCATGACTACTAGTCCCCTTTCACCTTTTTATTACAGTGGTTTTGGACATGTTTCACCACAAATGAATCAGCAGTTCCAATATTGATACATCATTCAGAAAGGAATAGGATACACTCTCCTCCCCGCATCATGTCATGCAGTGAGATAAGTGAGTAGGTGCAGTAAACTTTCACCCAGTGATGAATATGCTCCATACTTGGCAAAGGTAGGCAATAACCAAGACCCAAAGTGTTTCCTAAACTTTATGGCATAGACCAAACCTCTTCTGCATATTCAGATAAAGCTGCTTTTATTTCTATAAAACACTCCTTATTTTCATGCTTCTCTTATTTTGGCCAGAACCAGGAAATGCGGAAGTCAAAGTGACAATAGTTTTCCCTGTAGTTTTTCCAGTATAACGAGAATCAGGAATTACCAGAAATGTAGTGAGAAGACCTGTTTTAATGAGATTTTTAGTCCCATCTTACAATTCCGCAAGGTTTGAATAATTTGGATACAACTCAGCTAAACAAACTTTTGGGTGCTTATCTAAATTGAACCTCCAAAGCCTTTGCCCATCACTACGGCTGCGATTTAGTCATGGAGGTCGCGGAAGTCACTGCATGGGTTACTTCCAGCAGCCTCCATGACTTTAGCCTGCGGCGGTCAGGAGCTGCAGGGTCCCCTGCCGACCGCTGGGGCAGGAATCTGTGGGGTTCCAATGCTACCTCTGGTGCCCCCAGCAGCTCTTGTCCACTGGCAGGGGAACCCCCTGGCAGCTCTGGGCCCTGGGGGGAGGGTGGCAGGGGCTCCCGAGCTCCCAGCTGCTGTGGCCGTGGGGGGTGGTGGGGAAACCCCAAGCTCCCAGCCCCCATGGGCAGCAGGGGACACTAAGAGCTGCAGGTGGCAGGGGTACCCCGCAGCCCCCAGCTGCTACAGGCAGTTCCTAGTCCCTGCAGCTGTCGCACTTGAAGTAGTGAGGGGATCTGCAGATCCCCATTTTGTTAGGGATATTTTTAGTAAAAGTTAAGGACAGCTCACGGCTTCCATGAATTTTTCTGTTTTGCCCATGACCTGTTCATGACTTTTACTAAAAATATCCGTGACACAATCTTAGCCTTACCCATCACTAATTAGTGATTAGATCATACCCTCTCTCAGTGTATAACTAGCATACAGTGTATTCCAACCTCAGCTATAGCTGACCTAAACCAATTAAGCCATGCCTGGACTTAATACTAAGTAGTCTGAAGAACAAGATCATGCGTTCAGTCGTGGCTTAATAGACTAAGTAAGAAAGGGAAGTTACCACATCCTTGCCATTCCTTTTTGAAGTTATAGCACCTGAAGAGACGTGTTGTGCATTGATACCAGAAGTGTCTCAACAGTAAATAGATATTCAAATAGATATTCACAACCACCTGGCTACAACTTACTCAAATACTTTATTTTAAAGAGACCTTGACAACTTAAATCACAACCTTAAAATCATCTTTTTACTTAATTACTAATACCTTAGAACTAACAATGTGAAACTTGTTTTCAAATAAGATTTCTCTCTTGCATCTAGACAGCCATGATGTCTCACCAACTAGCCTAGAAATTCTCACAAATATAATCTATCTTCTCTTGAATATTCAGTATATTTCTACTCTCCCCAGAAAAATTTCCTTATAATATAAAACCTCCTACCTGATGACACATAAACTTTCTCGTCCCTGTCACTACAGGAGAGGACAACCATTTAAATGTCTCTTTCCAGCCAAATTCATGCTGAGGATGTGGCTAGGTCCAACAAAAACTAAGACTCTTATATGTTTATGGCTATTTAACAATATACTCTCATATTTCCAGGGATGTAAAATAAATGTGGTCCCTCAAATCAGGTTCAAAGGACTGGCCTCCTTCAGAACCCTACCACAAATGATCTACACCTTTCCCCCTATTACTGTAGTTAAAATGTAATTTACATTACTTTTTCTTGTTTGCTACAAATATTAATGTCAGGGAATTACAGTGTGTCTTTAGGGGTGTGGTGGTGGTGGTGGTGTTTGGGGGAGGGGGAGGATGGGTTGTTTTTTTTTAAACTAGAGGTTATTCCAGACCAAAACCCCACATCCAAACCTGCCTGAACTTCAGGAAAATTTAAATTCAGAATGAACTTTGCAGCTTAAGTCCCTATCTAATGTTTGCTTATTCAGACTGGAGAATAGATTTCAGAATGTAGCCTTTTTATTCTAAATAGAAATAATCACAGAAATCAAATTTTTTCTACAGTATGATAGTACTTTTTTTTTTAAAAAAGGGAAACCTATTGTACCTGGACATACTTCATCTTCCATCTTCCATTTTTCATCTTGCATAGTGCATAAATACTGTGCTGTTGTTCTTGGAAAGCGATGGTAAGCAAGGCGACAATACTTCTCTCGAATTCGCAGAGCTTTCACCAGGCCCTTCGCAGCCTGTTCGTAATCATCAACTGTAACCTGAAAAGAGAGGCTGTATAAATACTGATGGAAGGGAAACAGGAGCATCTATAAAAAGTCAGTTTGTCCTTCATTTAAACCCACTTGGGCAATAACAAGATTTTTATTTCCAGAAGTGTAAACCTTTGTAGGATTTGGGTCTAAGACCTGGATCCACAAATTGACTTAGACATTGCAATGCTCCTCAATGTGGCACCTACTTCTAGGTGTCTAGAAAATCACAGGAACAACACTGTGATACATAAAGCCAAGTTAGGTGCCTAGGCTCCCCATACAATGAATGGGGAGAGATAGGAGCCTCAGAATGTGATTCACAAAAGATGGCACATCATGTGGAAAACTGTCTAAGCTAGCCAATGGGAGATGCCTATGACAGAAGCGTGTCTTAAACCCTGCCACTCTGATGGAGATAGGAGCCTAAGTCCAGGCTGGAGAGAGGCACCTAGCTCTGCTAGCAATCCATGAATGGGAACCCACCACCTGGAGTCAGGTGGCTAAGTTATTTCTTGTGACAATGAGTTAGGGACCTGCCCTCACTCTACACAAAATGGGGGGAGGAAGTTGTGGGGCTGCCCACCTATTAATTTTTAGTTTAGTGGTTAGAGCACTCATGTGGGAGATATGGGAGACCCAGGTTCAATTCCCGCTTCTCTGGCAGAAATAGAGAGGATGAACAGTGGTGTCTCACCTCTCAGGAGAGTGCTCTAATCACTGGGCTATGGGATATTCTGATATGGGGCTCCCTAAATCTCTTCTCCTGAAACTCTTCCACTGTGTATAAAGAGTGAGTGGAGCAGTGGAACTGTACCTTGGGTCTCCCACCTCTGCAGTGGATGCCTTAACCACTGGATTAGTCATTTTCTCTCTCTCGCCCAATGACTCTAAGTATTTATGCACCATGTACCAATGGACCCTAAAACTGGGACTTAGGCGCCTATGTCTGAAACTTAAGCCCCAAAGGTACTTAAATGCCTTGCCCAAGGTCATAGAAGAAGTTGGTGAAAGAGCCAGATGTTAAAACTAAGTGTTGAGTCCAAATCTAGTGCCTTAACTACAAGAACATTCTTTCTCCCATCACTATGCTAAAGCACATGTAAAATATAACTAGGCATTAAATATCTTTTTTTCTTACCAATTAATACACAGTCATAAATAACCTGGGGCAAATTCTGCCTCATCACACCTGTACAACCCCATTGACTTCAGTGTGAGATGTCAAAGTATAACAGGAGAGCCATAACAAGCAATCATTCCACACTGCATAAGTCCTCTCTTTCTTCTCCCTTCCTCCCCCCCCCCCACCTAGAATATTAAAAGAAAAATTGACAGATTTCTTACCCCAGCACAGTAATCCCCACTGATTGTAACTCTCTGAAACTCTGGAACTGTAAATGCCTCTTGGACTGACTGACCAACACCTGGAAGAACTGGAGTTGCAGGAGAGGGAAGTGAACTGATTGATGGTGCCTTCCACTCTTGGGTTGGCATTTGTAATGACAAGGACTGGGACCGAATCATCCTGAAACTTTTCTTCCTAGGAATTCATGGTATCAAAAGTTATATCAGAAACCAGTCTATAAAGCAAAGAACTATTTCATTCTAGAAGGCTTTCTGTAGTATAATAGATTTCAAATGATTCAAAAATGTTGGTTTATAAAAATGAGCTTTGAAATGTTTAGTCCAGTGATATTTCTGACACTTGTAGCATGCTACATGCAATTTATGTACAACACACACACACAATAAGCCCTGATTATTTAGAAAATAGATAATTGAAAGTTGGTATGCAGATTTTTGTGTGTGTGTTGCAGTAACATCAAGTGAGAGATTGATGTCACTATAATGAGTGAAAATATGTTCACTACACCTGTGCTTAATATTAGCAGGAGTTGAGAAATTTCTGACTCTTAAAACATTATTGCACCAGAAATTAATAAAATGGCAGCTAGGAATGTGAGTGGGTGTGTACTGGGTAAGGTAAGTGATTATGTACCATCAAAAGTTATTATATCGGCTTCTGATTCTTGGTGACAGTTGCAGGGTTTAGAAACATATCAAGTTGATTGGTATGGTTTCATTTAAAAATACAGGTGTCTTTCAGTTGTATTGTAAGTAGCAAAGGCATGTTCTGTCCATATGAGGAAAATGGCTTCAGTTGATTGACTTCAACAGGATCGGGCCATTTATATTCAATGGGAATTTTGCCGTTTGCTTCCTTGAGAGCAGGAATGGACTTGTATAACAAAATCAAATCCCTATTTTAAATTGCCACTTTAGAATACCACGAGGTTTCCAATACAAAGGTAAAGCCCACCTCATCAAGCAAACTGTTTGCTGATTCCTTGCTTAAGACAAGTTTAACTGAATGATGGCCATGCATAGTGTCCTGATTAACAATCAGTCTTGTAAAAGATATATTTGTATACCACGAAATTAAATCTCCCGTATGAAGCTTACTTATAATTTATTTTTCTAAACATAGAATCATAGAATATCAGGGTTGGAAGGGACCTCAGGAGGTCATCTAGTCCAACCCCCTGCTCAAAGCAGGACCAATCCCCAATTAAATCATCCCAGCCAGGGCTTTGTCAAGCCTGACCTTAAAAACTTCTAAGGAAGGAGATTCTACCACCTCCCTAGGTAACACATTCCAGTGTTTCACCATCCTCCTAGTGAAAAAGTTTTTCCTAATATCCAACCTAAACCTCCCCCACTGCAACTTGAGACCATTACTCCTTGTCCTGTCCTCTTCTACCTCTGAGAATAGTCTAGAACCATCCTCTCTGGAACCACCTCTCAGGTAGTTGAAAGCAGCTATCAAATCCCCCCTCATTCTTCTCTTCTGCAGACTAAACAATCCCAGTTCCCTCAGCCTCTCCTCATAAGTCATGTGTTCCAGACCCCTAATCATTTCTGTTGCCCTTCGCTGGACTCTCTCCAATTTATCCACATACTTCTTGTAGTGTGGGGCCCAAAACTGGACACAGTACTCCAGATGAGGCCTCACCAATGTCGAATAGAGGGGAACGATCACATCCCTCGATCTGCTCGCTATGCCCCTACTTATACATCCCAAAATGCCATTGGCCTTCTTGGCAACAAGGGCACACTGCTGACTCATATTCTCGTCCACTGTCACCCCTAGGTCCTTTTCCGCAGAACTGCTGCCTAGCCATTCGGTCCCTAGTCTGTAGCTGTGCATTGGGTTCTTCCGTCCTAAGTGCAGGACCCTGCACTTATCCTTATTGAACCTCATCAGATTTCTTTTGGCCCAATCCTCCAATTTGTCTAGGTCCCTCTGTATCCTATCTCTGCCCTCCAGCGTATCTACCACTCCTCCTAGTTTAGTATCATCCGCAAATTTGCTGAGAGTGCAATCCACACCATCCTCCAGATCATTTTTGAAGATATTGAACAAAACCGGCCCCAGGACCGACCCCTGGGGCACTCCACTTGACACCGGCTACCAACTAGACATGGAGCCATTGATCACTACCAGTTGAGCCCGACAATCTAGCCAACTTTCTACCCACCTTATAGTGCATTCTTCCAGCCCATACTTCTTTAACTTGCTGACAAGAATACTGTGGGAGACAGTGTCAAAAGCTTTGCTAAAGTCAAGAAACAATACATCCACTGCTTTCCCTTCATCCACAGAACCAGAATCATCCAAATCTCATCATAGAAGGCGATTAGATTAGTCAGGCATGACCTTCCCTTGGTGAATCCATGCTGACTGTTCCTGATCACTTTCCTCTCATGTAAGTGCTTCAGGATTGATTCTTTGAGGACCTGCTCCATGATTTTGCTGGGGACTGAGGTGAGGCTGACTGGCCTGTAGTTCCCAGGATCCTCCTCCTTCCCTTTTTTAAAGATTGGCACTACATTAGCCTTTTTCCAGTCATCTAGGACTTCCCCCGTTCGCCACGAGTTTTCAAAGATAATGGCCAATGGCTCTGCAATCACAGCCGCCAATTCCTTTAGCACTCTTGGATGCAACTCGTCCGGCCCCATGGACTTGTGCACGTCCAGCTTTTCTAAATAGTCCCTAACCACCTCTTTCTCCGCAGAGGGCTGGCCATCTACTCCCCATGTTGTGATGCCCAGCGCAGCAGTCTGGGAGCTGACCTTGTTAGTGAAGACAGAGGCAAAAAAAGCATTGAGTACATTAGCTTTTTCCACATCCTCTGTCACTAGGTTGCCTCCCTCATTCGGTAAGGGGCCCACACTTTCCTTTGCTTTCTTCTTGTTGCCAATATACCTGAAGAAACCCTTCTTGTTACTCTTGACATCTCTTGCTAGCTGCAGCTCCAGGTACGATTTGGCCCTCCTGATTTCATTCCTACATGCCTGAGCAATATTTGTACACCCTTCCCTGGTCATATGTCCAACCTTCCACTTCTTGTAAGCTTCTTTTTTATGTTTAAGATCCGCTAGGATTTTACCGTTAAGCCAAGCTGGTTGTCTGCCATATTTACTATTCTTTCGACTCATCGGGATGGTTTGTCCCTGTAACCTCAACAGGGATTCCTTGAAATACAGCCAGCTCTCCTGGACTCCTTTCCCCTTCATGTTAGTCCCCCGGGGATCCTACCCATCCGTTCCCTGAGGGAGTCTACTCTTTTAAAGAGTTTAAAGTATTTAAAGTATACTTGAAATAATGAATTACCTTGACTTACATGCTGTGAACTTCTCCCCTTCATAATTTTACAGAAAAAGTGCCAAAACTTTAAAATGACCTTACAGGAAAACTTGAATAATAATGCAAATGCAGAGTCACCATTGCCTAGTAACAGTGACCAATGGTAAAACTTGGCACCTACTTCAAGGATCTCTAAAAATTCCTTCTCCAATCCAGTGTCAATAAGAGCCCTTAAACAGAAGGAACACTGAAGTCTGGGGCTTTGTATTAATTCTGTGACACTTTATTTATTTCCTCAAATATGTGGTATAAATAATACACGAGCCAAATTCTACCTTCACTTTCATGGGTGTAACCCCCACCACCCGAAGTCAACACTGAAGCTCCTCTTAAACTTTCACTCATGATGAATTGAAGTCAGTGGGAGTTATACTTTTATAACTGAAGGCAGAACTGGACCATAAGTGTTCTTCAATCATTGAGGGCAAGGGTGATTACTAGTCTCATCCCCACAAGTGAAGAGCATAAATATAGTATCCCACTTACCAGGATAAAGCCTGTACTAATACTTAGACACAAACACAGCTTGATTGAAGCTATTTTTATAAGGCATTTTCCCCTCATTAAAAATGTTCGGTTTAAATATCCTGTTAGAAGTTTTTCCACAAGAAAAAAAAGTGTCAAACAGTTGTCTGAATGCATGGGAAGACAAGGTAGAGATTTTTTTTTTTTAATTTTTATGACCATGTCAACTGCTGAAACCCACTAATTGAACTTTCATGATTCACCTCCAAAATATCTCAGCAAGTATCATCATGTTGGTAGCAGAATTAAATCACTTTTCTGCCTTGCTTCTCTGTTACATTAGAATAAAAAACAGTCCATATTTAAGTAATGGTAGTAATTTTTTTTCTCATAGGAAAATAAAATGAATGTGTATTTTTAGAACTTCATGTTTGTTTAATAGATGGCAATAATCTATTAGATCTCATATGGCCTTTATCTCTGAGTTAAGGGAACCCTAATAATATCCCATTTGAGCCCATGACACTTCTCAGTTACTCCTTCAGTGATAAGTCAAGCATTTGCTGTCATCTATTTTTATCGAGCTAAAACAAAAACATTTAACACTGACTGCCGTAAATGTTTAGATGTGTTAAAACTCAACATTGAGACTGAAAATCATGTTTTCAAAAAACACACACAGCCTCCTTAAGTGTGTTGCTGATTTTATTTACACTGAAAGAATCTCAAAGTTTGTATTTGCCTCTCACCAGCTATGCTGTTTTGTTGAACTTGTGTACTCCTATAGTTTTACTGGGAGTACATGTCAGGGGATAACCTCACCAACTCAGGATCCTTCCATAACTCTGTTAGAGGACACTCCCCAGGTCATCTGCAACAGGAGCTACAAAGGGACATTACAAAGGGTGTGGAAGCCACCTGTTCGTATGTGTGTGTTCCCTGACCTTGCAATGGTCTCTCTGAACAATCCTGGGGCAGATTATTTCCATCCTTAATGGATCAGAACAAGCAGGTGCTAAGAACCTGCAATTTTCCACTCCCATTAAAGAGTACTGCAGGTGAAGCACCTCTCAGGATCTGGTCCAATAGCAATATGTTTGTTAGGTGGTGATGTGCATTGTGTTCGTCGCATTCTGAATGCAAGCAAACTCTAAAACTATGTCTTGCAACATAAGTTTACCGTTTCAAGACACTGTGTTTGTTGCAAAGCAGCTGCCAGACTTTTACCCTTTGTATATATCAAAGCAATCAGCATTACAACTTCCGGGAACACGTGCAATAAAGCAGCACATTCTAAATCATACAGCACAGGTTGCTGGCTTCTGTGTTCAAGCATCCTGGATGAGTATCATGCCATTTGTGATGTATTCCTGTATGTAATTCTAAAGCCCACTTTAAACATTTTTTCCAGGAAAACAATGGCTTATGAACAAACCTCTTAGCTGTCTCCACAGAATGCTGTTCTGCCAACTCCTTCTGCAGTTCCCTCTCTTTAGCCTCTTTCTGCCCAATAGGACAGTCTTCAGGCACAGTGAATAGTGACAAGGCATCTTTGCTGTCTTCTTCTCTGAGAACTTTAGCAAATACCTTCTCTGCTAGAAGCCGCACCTGCTCATCAACCTCAGAAGTGTTCAGCTTTGGAAATTGCCTAGGCATCTCTGCTAATAATAATAATTAAAAAAAAGCCAGTTCACAGAATTGTAACTAAAAGTTGAATAAAACAATTATTTTTCATGGCATTTCTACTGAAACTAAGATAAGATTTTAGAGAGAGAGTGTGCATGCATACAATTTCCAGGACACTAGCTTAACAGTAGTCAATAGTACATAAGACAACAACCAAACTATCATAAGAATCAAGGGAATCCTTTGAGCACATTTTGTTTTGGAGCTCAGTTTAATGTGTGAATTAGGATTTTTTTTAACTCTGGATAAATTTTGTTACTTCCATCAGAAAATAACACTTTTCTAAGGTACAAATTGATTTAGGCACAAAAACACCACTGCCTTAAGGCTGGTTGAAGAGAATGAGACTGAATGAAAGGCCATTCTCTATGCCAGTTGATCATATGGTACAGGTTAAGATGAGATTTCCACTGCTGAGTAATGCTGCTTGGGCTGAAGGATACTCTTGTATTTATCATGGTCTATGTGAAGATATAGAGAAAGTTAAGTATTATGATTAATAAGGATGTTCACTTGCACTAACCTTTTAATGTGATTCACAACCTTGTGTCACAGTTCAGGGCAACTGCACCTGTATTTCCCCATAGTGGTCCAGCAAGGGCACCCACTCTCAAGCTTCCAGAGCCCTAGCCATTGCCTTTCTTGGGCTGGTCAGAAGGGAGTGAGACACAGGTATTTCCAGGCTGCAGAGTTCCCTGACTCTACTGTGTTACTCCCAGCTGAGACAGGCTGCCAAGCACACCTGCTTGCTTTCACTTCAGAGACTGATAACAAAATGATTGTCAACAGGTATATGTCACCACACAGTTCTTATTATGCAAATCTAGTTTATTTTTAAGGTAAAAACACTACAAAGAAAACTTATTAAACAGAAAAATAAGCTACTTGCATGCTAATAAGCTTCCCAGACATCAACCCAATTCTGATATGGGCTCTGTCAGGAGCAGTCCTACCCCACCCTATGCATTTTCTTGTCACTACAAATTCATCACAGCTTCAGCTCAGAACAAGCACAGCCTTGTGGGACCTCAGTAGGCCCCATCCTTCCACCCCTTCGTTAAGAATTAGGGCCCTCCATGTGTAACCCACACACCTCCAGTGTGTGGTGTTCTGTCCCATCTAGTGGTGCCGAGGCCACTTAGAGAGAGAAAATGAGTCTGCTCTACAGCCTTAGCTAACAACTAGTTGGCTTTTAGCTCATGTGGTAGAGGCTCATGCACTAAGCTCCAGAGGTCCCCGGTTCGATCCCACTTGCCAACGGCCGGGTTTGTTGGTGTTACACATGCACCAGGGGTCCTGTTTGGTTTTTGGCCAGGAAGAAGATCCTGAGTCTGTTTAAAACCCAGGCTATTTATCCAAAAAACCCAGGAGAGTGGTTTCAGAACCTCGAAAACAGAGGAAGTACATTAGCATCCCCCACCATGCTAGAAAAGGTATATACAATGCCATGATAACACATATGCAATGGCATTTTTTTATACAATGTACTCCAAAGGTGTTAACCCTAATTCAATAAAGTTTAACCTTATTGATTTTAAGTTTCTGAATTCCATAAAGTTTGTTCAGTATATTAGACTATCAGTCTGTCACAATGTTACCAAAATTCTTATACTATTGCGCATTCCCAAGACAATATGTACATGTGAACCTGTTGAGACTTGGCGCTAGAAATTATACAAATTCCACAAGTAGTGAATTTTTACGATGTAATATATATTCAGTGGAGAAAGGTACAAGTATTCATTCTGAACAGAATGTTAATAAAGTAGGGAAGTCACACTAGTAAAGTTCTTTCCTGCTTCCGGCCTCCCACTCTACTCCATTGTCTTTAAATCAATTCCATAACCATCGGCAAGTTGAAAACTGATTTTAAATACAGTCATATTTGCATCTCTTTATCTTTTGTTTGTCATGTAGCTCTTGTGAAGTGGACATGGCTATGTGGCAGAAGTTGAAATGCTGTGTTTATCTCGGTAAAGGTTTTTAATTAGTTTTCTAACAGCTCATAACCTGCCTTTGATCTGCATGTGAGAAGGAGGCAGGGTATGGACTCTAGTTTCTATTGGATTTTTAATTTTTTTTAAAGCTGTTTTTATATTTAGTGTTTCTATTTTAATATCTTTGCATCATAAAAAGACTTCAGTTTTATTATAGCTGCACCACTATAGATGATCTTTTAGAGTTTCTTCTGCAACTCTAAAGTTTTGTTTGTTGAACTCCTTCACAAACACTATCCCCAGTCTGGAACTTGATACATATGGTAGCAATTCAGGGAAAACTGTGGGTAAACTATTGCCCAGCAGTATTAGTTTTTAAAGCATTTTTAAATTCCTTTGGGTATGACAGGTGCTATTTCGAGCCAGATTCCATTCTATTTACTTGGGTTTAAAAATAGATGTGAACATGAACCAAAAAAACTGAATCCAAATACCACCAAACCTTTGGAAAGTCTGGATCTGACCTTTGCATTTCAGTCCCCTCTTTGAATATGTATTTAAAAAGAAAATAGTTACTGTGGTGTTTATTTTCAAAGTTTGTCTTATGCTAAAAACCAGGTCTGGGTCACGACAACTTGGCATGGTTTGTCAGTGCCCTTATTACAATATTTTGCAAGCATACTGCAGGCTTCAAATGTTGATATGTGATCCTTTTGACATGTCAGCCTGTTGTTTTCTTGATCTAAAAGATTCTTCTAATTAACATCCACCTGTTTCCACAGTTGTTTTGAGATTTGCTTTTGCTTTTAGTCTAAAAAGCTGATGTAGGTTGAGAAAATAGTGAATTGATAAATGAGAACATAAGAATGGCCATACTGGGTCAGACCAATGGTCCATCTAGCCCAGTATCCTGTCTTCCAACAGTGGTCCGTGCCAGATGCTTTAGAAATGAAATGAACAGACCAGGGCAATTTATCAAGTGATCGATTTCCTATCATCCAGTCCAGATTGGTGAGGCATGATTTCCTTTTACAAAAGCCATGTTGACTCTTCCCCAATATGTTGTATTTATCTGTGTCCCATACTTCTGTTTCAACCAATTTGCCTAGTACTGAAGTTAGGCTTACTGGCCTGAAGTTGCCAGGACTGCCCCTGGAGCCTTTTTTTAAAAATCGTCATTACTTTAGCTATCCTCCAGTCATCTGGTACAGAGGCTGATTTAGGTGACCGGCCACCTACCACATTTAGTAGTTCTGCAATTTCATATTTGAATTCCTTCAGAACTCTTGGGTGAATACAATCTGGTTCTGGTGATTGACTACTGTTTTAATTGATCAATTTGTTCCAGAACCTCCTCTACTGACACCTCACTCTGGGACATGTCAGATTTGTCACCTAAAAAGAATGGCTCAGGTTTGGGAATCTCTCTCTCACCCTCTGCAGTGTAGCCTAATGGAATTTAATTTCTCCGCAAGAGCCTTCTCTTTCTTGAGTGCTCCTTTAGCACGTGGATTGTTCAGTGGCCCCATTGGTTGTCTGGCAGGCTCCCTACTTCTGATGTACTTAAAAAATATTGCTGTTAGTTTTTTGTCTTGGCCTGCCTTCTTAAACTCTTACATTTAACTTGACAGAGTTTGTGCTCCTTTCGATTTTCCTCAGTTGGATTTGACTTCCAGTTTTTAAAGGATGACTTTTTGTCTCTAACTGCCTTTTTGACTCTGTTTAACCATGTTGGCTTTTTTTTTTTTATTTGGGGTACATATATAGTTTACGCCTCTTAAAAAAAAACAAAAAAAACCAACCCATAATAAAAGTTTCCATGCAGGTATATCACTCTTGAGACTGTTCCTTTTAATTTCAGTTTAACTAGCTGCCTCATTTTTGTGTAGTTCCCCCTTTTGAAGTTAAATCCTACTGTGGTGGATTTCTTTGGTATTTTCCCCCATACAAAGATGTTAAATTTAAATACATTATGGTGATTATTACCAAGTGGTTCAGCTATATTCACCTCTCGGACCAGATCTTGTGCACCATTTAGTATTAAATCAAGAATTGCCCCTCTCCTGGTGGGTTCCAGGGCTAGCTGTTCCAAAAAGCAGCTAGTAATGGTGATTTACGGATATTTTTATTCTTATCTTGCATCTGATCCAAAGCCCAGTGAAGTCAATGGAAAGGTTCCCATTGACTTCAGATCTACCCTTAAGCTTTTCTGTTTAGCAGCAATATGGTAACACCAAATATTAAATTTTCACAAAACCAAGTATAATCATAGAACAACTTCTATACACATGGTTGGCCTACTGATGCAGTGACAATGCAATATGTACCCAAACTGAATTTCTAATTTCAGTTTCTCACTCTCAAGTCTCATTAAAGTCATAGGAATCTTTCTATTGACCACTGTAGCCATAATTGTCAGCAACAGTTGCATGCAGTATTGTTGCAGCTGTAACAATCCCAGGATAGTAGAAAGACAAGGTGGGTGAGGTAATATCTTTTATTGGACCAACTTCTGTTTGAGAGAGACAAACTTCCAAGCCACACAGAACTTGTCTCTCTAACCAACAGAAGTTGGTCCAATAAAAGCTATTACCTCACCCACCTTGTGTCTCTAACAATAGTTAGACCCAGATATAGCTGCTAAGTAACAAGCTGTCAGTAACAAGGACTGCCTAGGCTGCCTCAGGTGGTGTTGGAAACAGTTCACAGCTAGTTAACGTAGGACTAAATCAGTTCCATTAAAGATAGTATGACTATTGTAGCCTGTTTCCTCTTGTTTTTTCCTACCCCCCCCCCCCAGATGTTCTGGTTTAACTTGGATTTAAACTTGGAGAGTGGTCAGTTTAGATGAGCTATTACCAGCAGGAGAGTGAGTTTGTGTGTGTATGGGGGTGGGGGGGATGTGAGAAAACCTGGATCTATGCAGGAAATAGCCCGACTTGATTATGTAAAGAGTTGTCACTTTGGATGGGCTAGCACCAGCAGGAGAGTGAATTTGTGTGGGGGGGTGGAGGGTGAGAAAACCTGGATTTGTGCTGGAAATGGCCCACCTGTTGATCACTTTAGATAAGCTATTACCAGCAGGACAGTGGGGTGGGAGGAGGTATTGTTTCATATTCTCTGTGTGTATATAAAGTCTGCTGCAGTTTCCACGGTATACATCTGATGAAGTGAGCTGTAGCTCACGAAAGCTCATGCTCAAATAAATTGGTTAGTCTCTAAGGTGCCACAAGTACTCCTTTTCTTTTTGCGAATACAGACTAACACGGCTGTTCCTCTGAAACTAGTCCTCAGTGGCAGATTTAGAGTTAGTGGGACCTTGTGCTCAGCTTCATTTTGGGGGCCCTTTCTTGGGACCCAGCCAAGAAAAAGAACATTCTCTCTAATCTCCTCCTGCCTCTGTTTTTCATTCTTTTTTTCTTCCTCCTCCTCCTTTAAGTAATAGGAAGTAAATGAAAATAAACTGAGGTACCTTGATTATTTTTGTAATCTAACTTATTTTTCCACAGACCACTTGAAAAATCTGAGGGTCCTAATGATCTTTCCAAATATTGTTTGTACTGTTAGCTACCTATTGTAAAGTGCTTTGGATAAGAGGGCTTTGTAAAAAAAAAAAAAAAAAAAGTTGGGGTGCAGGGTCTGGCCAGGACTTGGGGTGTGGGAGGGGGCTCAGGGCTGGGGCAGGGGGTTGGGGTGTGGAGTGCTTACATGCAGCAGCTCCTGTTTGGTGGGAGGGCTGCAGGTGGGGATGTGGGGGGGTGTAGGAGTCAGGGCATGGGGTGTGGGGGGCTGGGGTGTGTGAGGGGGATGCAGGAGTCGGGAAGGGAAAGGGGCTAGGAGTGTGAGGGGGTGCAGGAGTCAGGTCTGGGAGGAAGTTAGGGTGCAGGAGCAGGTTGGGGTGCAGGGTCTGTCCAGGAGTTAGGGTTCAGGAGGGTGCTTAGGGTTGGGGCAGGAGGTTGGGGTGTGGAGCGCTTACCTAGCGCAGCTCCCATTTCGTGTGAGGGGTGTAGGTGGGAATGTGGGGGGGGGTGCAAGAGCTCCCATTTGGTGCTCAGGGTGGGGGTGGGGATATGGGGGTGTGTAGGAGTCAGGGCATGGGGGGCTGGGCTTTGTGAGGGGGGTGCAGGAGTCAGGGTAGCAGCAGGGGTGTGGTCTGGGGTCATGGGGGTGCTCCCAGCGCCCTGCCCTGAGTGGCTCACGGCAGGAGGCCGGGGGGAGGTATGTGTAAGGGAAGTGCAGGAGCCCCACGTTTGCTCTGCCCTGCCCCAGTTCCACCCCCTTCCCCAAGGCCCTGCCCCCACCTCTTCCTTGCCTCTTCCCCTGAGCATGCTGCAGCCCTGCTCCTCAAGCTCGCTCCTGGAGCGACCTGAGCACTGGCAAACAGCTGTTTGGTGGCAGGGGAAGCACTGGGAGGAAAGGGGAGGGGCGGATCCTAGTGGAACATGGATCTGAAAATTGGTTTTGTCCCATCTATAGCAACAGTTAAACTGTTTTCATCATTGGCTGAGTAGGCCTAGAGAGGGATCCATGGCTGAGCAATCATTGTCAGTGACTGTGATCGTGTTCCTAGTGTAAAAATGGCCTTAGTTACATAACTGTTAAATACTGAAGTACAGTAGGAAACCTCTTGCATGGTAGACTTCAGTACTTAGCCCATTCTGATTAACGAAGTGAATTTTAAGTCATTAAACCAAATGTCTACTTTTCACTTCATTTTATCTATGTATACATAAATCCCCATTTTCCACTGACACCAAACTATTTTTCTTCAAGATAACACTTGTTCCTGCACTCCCTTTTCAGGCAAATGAGAGGTGCAGGCATCTCGTGTTTTCCAAGTAGGCTGTGTTTTGTTTACATTAATAGGTCAGGTTTCAGAGTAACAGCCGTGTTAGTTTGTATTTGCAAAAAGAAAAGGAATACTTGTGGCACCTTAGAGACTAACCAATTTATTTGAGCATAAGCTTTTGTGAGCTACAGCTCACTTCTAAGGTGCCACAAGTACTCCTTTTCTTTTTATTAATAGGTCAGTTCACATCATAGAAGAAAACTTAGTAAATATAAAAATAACACAGTGACTCTTCACTCACTATTCATGCAATTTCTAATCTCCTTGGGCCGAGTTCGTAAGTTGATACATTTCAATATTTACTGTACTCCTTTTAAAATAAAATAAAATTTGCTAGGTGGGGGATTCAATTTCCCTGAGTGAAAATGATTCCTGTTGTGATCTGGTGAAGAGGGAATGATGAACCATTGATCCACTCTGGAAGGAGAGACTAAATATTATGTCGTATTCATAAAACCCTCTGTCCTTTCCAGACCCTTTTTTTTCCCCTGCTATCCCAAGATTGCTGTGGTTGTCGTCTTTAACTTGTGTGGGAATGTTACTCTACAAGTTTAAGAGAAATAACAGACACTAGACACTACCTGACAGGATGATTACTTAAAAGACAACGATTGTTCAGGAAGTTTAGAGCAGTGGTTCTCACTAGATATTTGCCTAGTTTTACAACAGGCTATATAAAAAGCATTAGTGTAGTCAGTACAAAGTAAAATTTCATACAGACCACTTTATACTGCTCTCTTTACTATAAACTGAAATGTAAGTACAATATTTATACTCCAATTGATATATTTTAGTTACATAGTAAAAATGAGAAAGTAAGCAAATTTTCAGGAATACGGTGTTGACACTTGTATTTTTATATCTGATTTTGTAAGCAAGTAGTTTAAGTGAGCTGAAACTTGGGGGTAGGAAAGACAGATCAGACTCCTGAAAAGGGTACGGTGGTCTGGAAAGGTTTGGGACCACTGAGTCAGAGGACTTGACTATTCCAGAAGCCTATTGTAAAATCAGGTCTGCACCAGGCACCCTGACTGAGGAATCCTATTCCGCTCCTCCGAGCAGGGACCGCCAGGAGCATGGGGATCAGGGGCTGAGAGGGGGAAATCTGGCCCTGGCCGGCTCTCGGGGGCAGGAGACTTGAACCAGGACCCTGCCGCCGTTTTCTGCCGGACGCCAGGACAAGGGGAGGCTCCGGCTACAGGGGTGCAGTTTGCTCCAGCGGCTCCACGGGGGGCGGATCCCGGTGCCAGCCCCGCGCCGCCCGGGGGAAGAAGGACTCACCTAGCGCCCCGGGGAAAGCCATGCAGGAGGCAGCGCCAGGATGCAGGCGGCGCTGGCCTGGGAAGGAGCCTTCAGGGCCGAGGAGGCGGCGGCAGCGCTGCGGCCGGCCGGGGACTCCGCAGCAGCATCCCGCTGCGGGCCGGGGGGCGGGGTGTCCTATTCAGCAGCCAGGCGGCCCCGGCACGTCCCGCCCCGCCCCGCCCGCGGGCAGCCGGCCCAGCAACACCGGCTTCTTGCAGCCGGTCACCTGCGCCCCGCGCCGCGGAGCTGAAGCAGCGGCCGGCCGGGGAGCCCGGCTGCCAAGGCCGAGGCGGGGTGCGCGGGGTTCCCGCCTCTCCCCGAGCCGCCCGCGAAGGGACCGGCTGCGGGTGGGGTCCCCCCGCTCCCTACCTGAGGCGGCTGGGGGAGCGGGTCTCTCCCCCCGGCGCGAGGCGGGTCCTGTCGCCGCAGCAGCCGCAGGCGGGGCAGCCCGGCGTGACCGGGCACCGCGGGGAACTTCTTCCAAGGCGGAGGCTCGGGGAGGTTGCAGCCCGCGTGCCCCTCGTGGAAACGCACCGCACTGCCGCGGAGCGCTGGGGAGTCGCCCATGGGCAGCGGCTGTGGCCGGGGAGCCGGGGCTTGAATGGACCCGTTCAGGGCAGCCGGTGCGCGCCGGTTCCTGACCGAGGCTTCAGGACAAGGGGCTCCTGTCCAAATGCCGCCTCCGCCTCCCAAACTCCGGGGGTGGGTGGGTCCCGTCTCCGGGTGCTTTTCACGCCTGAGCCGCCTGGCGGGGGTGGAGGAGCTGCGAAAGGGATGCTGCCATCTCAAATCACCTGTTGCCAGAGCACTTTAAAGAAGTGGAAAATGTAGGTCAATGGAAAGATTCCCTTGGACGTCAGTGGCCTCTGGAGCAGCCCCCAAGTCTCTAGACCAGTGGTTTTCAAACTGTGGGGCGGGAGCCAGGACTGGGCCATGGAATGGAGGGCACTGGGTCAGGTGGCTTCCGTTAAAAGTCCCGTCAGCAGTGCTGCCCGGGTAAGGCAGGCTAGTCCCTACCTGTTCTGACACCGCGCTGCGCCCCGAAAGTGGCCAGCAGCAGGTCCGGCTCCTAGGCAGGAGGGCCACAGGGCTCTGCACGCTGTCCCCGCCCCGAGCACCGGCTCCATGGGGGTGCCTGCGGGCGAGAGCTTGCACGCCTCCACCTGGGAGCCAGACCTGCTGCTGGCCACTTCTGGGAATCCTGCCTTAGCACTCCCACTACGCTGCTGACCGGGAGACACCACAGGAAAGCCCGCGCCCCACCCCAATCCCCTACCCCAGTCCTGAGCCCCCCTCCTGTACCCCAAAGCCCTCAACCCTGGCCCCACACAGAGCCCTGACCCCCTCCCATATCCCCAACTCCCTGCCCCAGCCAAGAGCTGCCTCCCACACCCTGAACCCCTCATTCCTGGCCCTCACCTCTGCACCCAACCCTCTGCCCCAGTGCTGAGCCCCTCCCACACCCCAAACCCCTCATCCCCCAGTTCCGTTGGGTCACGGGCATCAAGAATTTTCTTCTGGGTCGCCAGAAAAAAAGTTTGAAAACCACACTCTAGACAGCTTTCCCTTGCACCAGTAGGAAGTTTGCTGACAACATGTATGAATGGTATGTGTAAGTGTATCTTGTTTAGCCACGCCTGAGCTCTTCATCATCATGATCATGTTCTTATTACGTCTCTGCCGTTTAGGGCAGTGATGAAGCTCCTCCACTCTTGTCTGTTTCTGGCAAGTCTTTCAGTGGTTCCCCACCTGTGCCCCAGGTTTTTCAGCTTGGCTTCCACAGCTCTTCGCCATGTTGTTTTCGGGTGGCCTCGTTTTCGCTTGCCTTCAGGTGTTCATCTTATTGCTACTCTGGTGATGGAATCAGTTTCCATCCAAAGCACAGGACCGATCCATCTCCAATGCCTCCTGGCAATGATGGTGCTCAGATCCTCTTGGCTGCTGTCTTTACACATACTTAAGAGCGTGGGTTCTTAAGTATGTGTAAAGACAGCATTCTGGTCCTTGTATAGTGATGGTGTAAACTTGTTAAAACTCCCTGAGTCAACAGTTATAAAAATTAGCCACATTAATGTATGTAAACATCTGCAGTGTATCAAAATATCATTGTGCTTATCATCATGATAGCAGAAGACACACCATTTCATGTGTATTTTGGCCAATTTATGGAAAACTCAAATTTTTTTAAAATGTATAAGCAGGAGAGTGGGGTGGGGGAAGAGAAAACCTTTTGTAGTGATAAAACACCCATTTTTTCATGATTTGTGTGTATAAAAACAAACATCTTCTGTATTTTCCACAGTATGCATCCGATGAAGTGAGCTGTAGCTCACGAAAGCTTATGCTCAAATAAATTGGTTAGTCTCTGAGGTGCCACAAGTACTCCTTTTCTTTTTGCGAATACAGACTAACACAGCTGTTACTCTGAAACCAATTCATATAATGCTTCTCCCTTGTGTTTCCTGCTAACAGAGGAAACTATCCTTCTTGATACAGTACACTGAAAGCTCAAAAATAACTATGTGTCAGCATTATCTTTTGAGTTCAGATTTTGTGGCTGAGCAATATGGGTAAAGTTTTCCTACAGGAGGTTGGCCCACACCACCATGGGCCCAATCTTGCAGCTGCTATGAACGCACAACTTCCACTGAAATTAAGGGAAGTAGTTGAGCATAATAACTGCAGGGTCACACCCTGCATGTGAGAGCAAACAGGGCAGAAAATCTCTCCCAAAATGTGAGCGCAATTGGATATTTTTATGGCAAACATCTTATGTCCCACACATGGTCTTTTTCAGCTCTGAAAAAACAAACAAGCAGAAGCAACCTATAGGCTGGTAATAATGAAGCATTTCATTTATAAATCTCAAATCACTTGAAACAGAAGCAAAGAGAAGGTGCAACTGCAAGAAAACCAAACACCAACAATTACGAGATAACCTGTTTGTATCAGTAGAGACTGTGGTCAGTACTATGAACACCTGCAAAGTGTCAGGGGTATCAAACTTTGTATGCAGACCCTAGGTAGATGACTGATAACAGGCCATAAAGTTCAGCCTTTTAGCAGCACTCCTGTGTGTTACACATTGATTACACTGCCCATAGGGGAAGTTTTTTTGCCAATTCTGTCAGTTAGTGATGGATTATGCCCTAACACATGAGAGTTTATTCTTTCTTTTTAAAAAAGTTTTAATCTATCTAATGTAACTGTGGGTATTCTCATTAAATAAATATAAATGTTTAATCCTTTTTTAAACCTACTAAGTTCTTGGCCTTAATGATATCTTTTGGTAACTACTCCCTCAAATTAACTTTGTATTGTGTAAAAATGCGTTTCCTTTTGTTTTAAATCTGTTGATTTTTCAATTTAATTGAATATCATCTTGTTCACATAATATATAGCAGCACCCTATTTACCTCTTATCATCCATAACTTTGTATATATCTATAGTGACTGAAGTAGGAATATTTGTGTGAATAATAACTTGCAGGATCAAGCCCTTAATTTGGAATTTAACCTCTTGGTGACAGTAAACATGACTAGTATAGCTACAGTCCAGCACAGAAGTTCCAGGATATATGAACGCTGTGGGAGTCAGCTCAGCATTTTAACACGTGACAAACAGAAATTTAGTAAGTTCTGTAGTCTTGTTTGCATGTCAACATCCACTGAAGAATGGAAGTTACATATACAATCTCCTGACGCTGAATTTTGTGCGAATACCAATCCTTTGAGACACTAGCTTTCACCTAGGAGATGATTACGCTGTAACACACATTAACCAAAATTAGGAAATAGTTTCTCATTTTTACTGGAGATATTTTCAATTATGAATATATTGCTTTAGGTCCTAAAGTGCCTTGAAGTTAATGGATTTATATTTTTAAAGTACATTCATATTATTGATTTGTACTTTACTGTAGGGCAAAACAAACTAATGGATCAGATAGCAAAATGTTTCCATATTTGTAATGGACCCATTAATGGTATCCAAAGACATGATTTTATATATTTTTCTTACCAATGTCTTTAATCAGTATTGTAATTGGTATATGTATCTTTATATTTAACTGTTGAAGTTTAGTCATACTGAAACATTAGAAATAGAAGTGATAGATAAGAATAGTTTTGAAAAGCTGGGAGGGGAGATTGGTACTAAATGTAAAATGTAATTGAATGATATTTATAAATGTTAAATTATTCATCATATTCTCTCTACTAGAAGAGACATGCAATTCAGCAGATTTTTTTTTATTTTTTTTTAGGACATATTAATATAGATGAGAGTTGTAGTGATTTACAAAGCGAGGAAATTATTCCACTGAGGGTTTGAGATGATGTAAAACACAAGAGTGAAATCTGGTTTGGGGTTTCTCTGCAGATGCAGTGTGTACATGCATTAAAAGGGGAGGCTTATGTTTTGCCTCTTTCAAAAATGGAGCCAAAAGACAGAGTAACTGATTGGCATACACGTAAGTAAGTAAGTAAACTAGCTAGGAAGCTGGGATTTTATCCGTTCCTGCCCTGACTTTTTTGTTTTGTTTGTTTGGGAGGGGGGGTTGAGAAGGGGTTGTCTTTGTTATCAAGAGAGAGCATGAAAAACAACTTTGTTTTGTTTTAAGATGGGTTAAATTTGGAACTTGAGAGGTGTGGCACTATACCTTTCAAATCTATTCCAGTTCTTATGGAAAGGCATTGCAATAACTCAATAGGCCAGAGTTAGAGTACTCACCCAGGATGTGAGAGACCCAGGTTCAAATCACCCCTCTTCCTGAGTTAGAGCAGAGTGTTGAAACCAGATATCCCCTTTCAGTACTCTAAATACTGGGCTATAAGGTATTTTGGAATGGGTCTCTCTCAATCTCTCCTGTTGAAGCTGCTCTACTTTGTATGAGATACTGTCATGGGGCCCACTTGCCACAGTGGCGCCTCCTGCTGGCCATCCTGGAGATTAGCTCTGTCAGTTGCAGTGCCCTCTTCAGGTGGTGCCTCACCTATCGTCCTCTCACCCTGCAGACCTGCCTCACTCCAGGAACCACAACATCCTCTTCATGACTCGGCCTTCCAACTGGGTCACCATCCATCTTTCGCCCTTTTGGGGTTACCCAACGTCTTTCTATGCAAACAGTCCTAGGGAGTCTTCTCCTGTGCTGCCCTGATGGTGCCACTTCCCCAGTAGCCAGCAGGGGAACCCGGGCTCACACTCTTCTCTGGGTTCCAGTCCAGGGTCCCTCAGCTCAGCAGTTCTGGGCTCTACCCTCCCAGCCCGGACTGCTTCCTAATCTTCCTGGTCTCTCCCCGTCCCCCTATCCCTGGGAGTACCAGCTCCAAACCAACTCCTCCCAGCAAGTGACTGCCCTTTCCCCAACAGCCCTGTCTGTTGTCAGCTCCTGGGCTTTATAGGCCCATCTATTCCTGCCCAGCTCAGCAGGGGTTGCAAACATGGGCAGCGTGGGAGCCCCCCTTTGGGGAGGCTAGCCATGCAGCTCCGCCCCTTCTACCTGAGGCCAGAGGTGCCCCGGAAACTATCCTGGGCCACCACCTGCCCACAGTGCCAGCCCCAGCACCAGGCCGTCACCAGCCCTAATCTGCCGGCCGCCCACCAGCCCCTGCATCAGCCCCAGTCCTAGGCTGCTGGCCTCTGGCTGGAACTGAGCTCCCGCTGGCTTGGGGGAGAGGGTGGAGCATGGGTGGGG